ATAAGGATGTTAATTCCACTAAAGGAGAGACTTGATGTCAAATAGATGGAAAGAATGGCAATGGCGTCAGAAATCGGTCAAATCATTTGGAAAACATTTGCTCATTTTTGAAAAATCGAATATCGTGGACTCCTATGATAAAGTCCACGCAGGCAATTCTGTAAAGATGATTTATTTTCTCCATAAATAGCTTTGTGAATAAACATGTATCATAGGATATGTTTTTTGACAGCTGTCGCTGGAGGTTTAAGCAGAAGTCCATATTGTTCTTGAGGCTGACGGCAGGGAACTAGAGTTGAGTAGTATCTACAGAACGTCTTTCCTGCTCAAAACGAATCATTTCATTTTCAGATTTCCTATGAAGTACGTGCAGACGTTCACTCAAGTACTCACTTCATACACCGTCGTCTTCATCTGTTTTTCTACCTTATTGTCTCTCAAGAACCTTGAAAAGCTCTGTTAAATGGACTGATCTTTTCTGAGGTCTGCTATTGACGTCTGCCAGGTTCTCTCTCTTGAGAGTCTTTAAACCCAATTACTCTGCTTTTAATGATCTGATTAACTACAAATATACCAGTTAATTAAGTCATTAACGTCTGCACTGCGGCGCTGCTGATGGACGTCTTGCAGTGCAAAAGTTCAAATATATTTCATATTAAAAATCCACTGAAAATCTTAGTATCTAGGCTCAACCGGTAATACTAAGACAAATAATTAATACAATATAATAAAGTGGAAACATCAGCACATGTGTAGCTTTGCATGGTTGATAAAGGACTAAACCTCATGATTTAAAAGCATACTCAGCCATGTGTAAATGCTGTTAAAATACAGAAATGTTCAACATAGATAAATCAACTCTATCCACCATTATGGTATTTGTCTTGCCATTTTCTTATCAAGAACAGGAAGTACGAAATAAATGAGTCTAAGCCCCGAAGAGCGACTTAAAGCCGGATTATTCACGGCTGGTTGAACGGAGGAGCATCTGTCCTGCAGCTCAATCTGCAGAGTATTACGTTATTTAAATATAATAACCACCATATTGTCACATTCATGCCGGTACACCATGTCTTGTTTTAACTTTGTGAGTGCTTTTTATATAATAGTGTCCTGGCATTTTGATTTAATGTTATTCTTGTGCAAGAACAGCATAAAACATGAACTATTCTGTGGTTTGGTGTTCAGGTTGTTCAGGTTAAAATGTAAAAGTCAAATGTAGTTCAGTCTATATCAAAATGCAAATGGTGCATTCCTTTATTGACTTTTCATATATAAAGAGACCATGAAGCATCTAAAATGATGTTTGCTAAACTGTTAAAACTCTATCTTAAAGAACAGGGAACCTGCATATTGATAAAAATTAAACATTGAATAATTAAGCGCTGATGTTGATGATGGCTTTGTCACTTTGACAGGTAATTAGTTGTTGTTTATTCTTCTGCCTGCAGCCCCGATGGCAGTGAACTGACTTTGATTGACAGCTTGTCTCGGGCCCACTCAGAATACATTGCTCTCTTTGTTTTAATAATGATAGCTATCCGGCAAAATGACGGGGTGGTCATTTACGTGACACATTTCAGGACAGAAGATCTATATTACCAATCAGGTTGATTGAAAATATCTAATCTCTATATTTATGGTGCGTCACTACTCTCTACCTACTAGTTTTCCTGTCATTACCTCTACCTCTGTACTCAGGCACTTCCTCTCCCCCTTCCTCCACCTACACTTTCTTACTCTTTGTATTTTAAACACATACTAAATGAGACATCTTGTCTTTAATGATAGAGTTGTGCAGTGATAAGATAAAGATAAAATAAGGTACTCTATTGATCCCAAATTGGGAAATGTTTGTTTGTTGCAGCAGCATAAAAAACAACAAAACAAAACAAGGCATTGCACATAAGTAGAAATTAAAGAGTAGAAATAAAAAATACTAGAATTTGAACATCTCAAAATAGAATTAAAGCAGAATTAAAAAGAAGAAAATATACAGTAGACCGTGAAGATAAAAAAATCTGTTTTTGTGTTCAGCCTCTCCCTTGATCCACTAAAAGCCAATGAGATTTTTTAATTGGATTTTGGACATACACATCCAGACTCCCCTATCCCGCCATACTTAAGATTTAAGTAAGTCATTTCCACCTCACATTTTCTGAATCCAAAAATATTCTTCGGACTGGGTGGGACGCTTTGGTCGTGAGATGATGATAAATGATCAGAATCAGTAGATCTATTGTTAGAAAAGAACAAAAAACCTCTAATAGTAAATTATTAGTAAAAGAGATTATTTATTGTGTTCCTGCCCCTTTGTCTCAGAGATCATATTAGTTCACAGATGTGTCCGCAGAGTGGGCGTTTTGACATATCTGCAGCCAAACCTTTAGTGCTTTGACGAGATGTTCGCTGTCACTCAGACTGTGGCTGCAGCCATTAAAGGCAGACATGCTCAGCTGAATCAATTTCCCTTCTCAATGCACCTAATCACTTCAAGGTC